CACCAATTTACCTTTATATGCTTCGATTTGCACGAAATTTAGTACAGCGTAATGAATAAGGTCTGGAATGATGTGTGTCAAGTTTCGTGAAAATCGGTTCAGATTTGGATATAGCTCCCATATATATTTTCGTCCGATGTAAGGTAAATAGTGCACCAAAGTCCCTACATATCCTTCGATTTGTACGAAATTTGGTCTAGTGTAATGAATTAGATCTAGAATGTTGTGTATTACGTTTCCTGAAAATCGGTTCAGATTCGGATATAGCTCCCATATATATTTTCGTCCGATTTTAGTAAATAGTGCATTTGGTGAAAAATAGTGAAATTTGGCACAGCGTAATGAATTAGGTCTAGAATGATGAGTGGTGAGTTTCGGGGAAATCGGTTCAGATTTGGATATACCTCCCATACATATTTTCGTCCGATTTAAGGTAAATGTTTGGTGCACCATTTACCTTCCCTATTTATCTTTCACTTTTCACAAAATTTGGCACAGCGTAATAAATTTGGTCCCGAATGATGTGTGTCAAGTTTCATGAAAATCGGTTCAGATTTGGATACAGCTCCCATATATATTTTCGTTCGATGTAAGGTAAATGGTGTACCAAGGTCCCTATATATCTTTCGATTTCCACGAAATTTAGCACAGCGTACTGAATTAGGTCTAGAATGATGTGTGTTAAGTTTCCTGAAAATCGGTTGAGATTTAGATATAGCTCCCATATATATTTTCGTCCGATTTAAGGTAAATGGTGTACCAAAGTCCCTATATATCCTTCGATTTGCAGGAAACTTGGCATAGCGTACTGAATTAAGTCTAGAATGGTGTGTGTTAATTTTCGTGAAAATCGGTTCGCGGCGTACCGAATAGCGTTTATCAATTTGTCCATAAATCAATCAATCGTTTGCCATAAATTTTCCCCATGTTACGCAGTCGGCTCTAATTCTGCTCGAATGAAATTAAAGTTAGGATAGGTTATAAAAAGAGGGAGCATAGACATGCAATTGTTAGAATACATATGTACAATATACCCAAAGTGGTGATGGGTATCATATAGTCGGCCCAGTCCGACTTTTTACTTCTTTCCCTATTATTTTCAAATTTGGCCCACTGTCCCATTTATATGCAACAGCACGTTTCCAAATTTTTAAGTTCATCGATGTACACCACCACCAACAATACAACTTTAGCATTCCCATTGAACCGTATAGAAAAACAGGACTTATTCAAACCTGAGCCTTTTATTGAACAAAAATGTTGAATTGTGCAAAATAAGCCGATTTGCAACATGAATTGCATACAAAATTTTGAGTAAACAATTGAATATTGCAAAAAAAAAAAAAATATTGTAACACACGCACCTCAATACTGGTGCTGCTACAGCAGCAGCAGTATCAGAAGCCATGGCCTGATTGTCTGTCATCAACCATCGAAAAGCGGATAATTAAAATGACAGAATTGTGATCCTAACAGGACACACACACACACATTGCCAGAAAATGCTGTTGCAGGAGAAACCACAAAAAAAATGTTGGAGAGCGACGGAAAAAAATTGGATGATTTTAAAAATTTAAATTGAAAATAACCTAGAAATAAAATATTTAAATTAAATCAACACAATAAAATTCACGAAGTTTAAACAAATTGTTTGTGTGTGTGTTAAAAATAACAATACCACACACTCACAAGGATGTGCTGCCGATTGTTTATTTTTTTAATTTTCTAAAAATAGAAAAAAATAAATCCTCAGCATTCGGAGGTCCCTATGTTTATGTAAACAAATATCGAAATTATTCTCTCCTTCAAGGATTTCCAAGCAGGAAATTTTCTACTCCTTTTGTCAATTGACATGGAACAGAATGCAACATTTTACAACAGTTTCGCCGTTTATTTGCTGAGCGTTTGTTTACAAACTCGTTGGTTGTCTTCCTGCTTGAATGCCTGCCTGCCTGCTCGTAAGGAGGTTCCATCGAAATGTCCATGTCATTTGACACCCATAAACAACAATAACAAGTCATTCATTACCAATTGAAATTCGAATGTCTTCGTGGCGAACACCATGTGTGAAGGCATTCGGCTATGGTGGCATGTTTGAGTCTTAGGCGAGTGTTAAGGAAATTTCCACCTTGTGGTGCTGGTATTTGTCGATTGGTTGGTGGTAACTTAGACACATCTTTTGTCACCATTATCACCGAACTATTATCAGCGTCATCCTCAATGTCGCCATGATAAATATATGCAGAGGGTGATGGTGGTGGTGGTAGGGGCGGTAATGATTGTTAGTTTGCATGGACTTGGAACCTCACAAAGTCGGACAGAACAATCTGTAGAAATGCAGTTCATTTTTATAAACAAATATTCTTTAAAAAATCCGCGCCTTCTTTAAAAAATCCGCGCCTTTTATAGGCCTCAGGAAAAATATTCTTTAAAAAATCCGCGCCTTTTATAGGCCTCTGGAAAAAAATTCTTTAAAAAGTCCACGCCTTTTATAGGCCTCTGGAAATATATTCTTTAAAAAATCCACGCCTTATATATGGCTCTAGGAAAATATCTCTTAAAAAATTAATAAATTATCTGGGCCCTGAAAAAATATTCTTTAAAAAATCCATGCCATATATATGGCCATGGAAAATCCGCGTTTATCTATGTGTTTTACACCATCCACCATAGTATGGAGGGTATATTAATTTTGTGTTTCCGTTTACAACTCATCGAAATAATCATTTCTGACCCTATAAAGCATATATATTCTTGATCAGCGTAAAATTCTATGACGATTAAGATATGTCCGTCTGTCTGTCCTTCCGTTGTAGTCACTCTAGCGTCTAAACGTATTGAGATAGATCGCCAAAATTTTTCGTAGAGTCGTCTTTTGTCTGTAGGCAGGTCAAGTTCGAAGATGGGATTTATCGGTCCACGTTTAGGCATAGCTCCCATATAAGGGTACCCCCAATTTTCGGTATTTTGGGGTTCTAGAGCGCATTTTTCAACTGAAATTTGCTACATTGGGTTCTTATTGGGTACTAAATGCCCCCACAAAAAATTGTAAATATAGGTCCACTTTTTCTGGTAGCCCCCATATAAGGGTACCCCCAAATTTTCGGTATTTTGAGGTTCTTGAGCGCGTTTTTCAACCACTTTGCTGCAATTTGGTATTTTGTAGTCGTATATGGTAACAAATTTCCCTTCCAAAAATTATTAATATTCGCCCCCATTTTGGGGTAGTGCCCATATAACCCCCTTTTTATAGTCTTTGTGCATTTGTTTGTAACAGGCAAAGGAAACGAGATAGACACATGGTTTCATTTGAGAATATGCATGGAACCACTTTCTGAGTCGATTTATGCATGTCCGTCCATCCGTCCGTCTGTCTATCTGTGTTAACTTAATAAAAAATAAAGGTCGCATTTTTGATCCAAATTGGATGAAATTTGGCATAGGTCACTTATTTGATTCAAGCACGAACCCTATTGAAATTGGGAATAATCGGTTCAGATTAAGATATAGCTCCCATATATATTTTACTCCGATTTAAGTTAAATGGTGCACCAAAGTCCCTATATCTTTCGATTTGCACGAAATTTGGCATAGCGTAATGAATTAGGTTTAGACTGATGTGTGTTAAGTTTCCTGGAAATCGGTCCAGATTTAGATATAGCACCCATATATATTTTCGTCCGATTTAATGTAAATGGTGCACCAAAGTCCCAATATATACATGCCAATTTGCACGAAATTTGACAAAGGGTACTGAATTAAGTCTATAGTGATGTGTGTTTAATTTCGTGAAAATCGGTTCAGATTTAGATATAGCTCCTATGTATAGTTTCGTTCGATTTTATGCAAATGGTGCACCAAAGTCCCTACATATCTTTCGATTTGCACGAAATTTGGCACAGCGTAATGAATTAGACCTGGAACAATGTGTGTTAAGTTTCCTGGAAATCGGTTCAGATTTAGATAAAGCTCCCATATATATTTTCGTCCGATTTTACGCAAATGGTGCATCAAAGTCCCTATATATCCTTCGATTTGCACGAAATTTGGCATAATGTATGAATTAAGCCTAGTGTGATATCTGTTAAGTTTCGTGAAAATCGGTTCAGACTTAGATATAGCTCCCATATATATTTACATATATACATATAGCTCCCACATATATTTTCGTCCGATTTTACGCAAATGGTGCATCAAAGTCCCTATATATCGTTCGATTTCCACGAAATTTGGCACAGCGTAATGAATTAGGTCTAGAATGAGTGTTAAGTTTCGTGAAAATCGGTTCAGATTTAGATATATCTTCCATATATATTATTATCCGATTTAATGTAAATGGTGCGTCAAAGTCCCTATATATCTTTCGATTTGCACGAAATGTGGCACAGCGTACTGAATTGCGCCTAGTGTGATGACTGCTAAGTTTTGGCGAAATCGGTCCATATTTAGATATAGGTCCCAAATATAGTTTCGTCCGATTTTACGCAAATAATGAGCCAAAGTCCCTATATGTCTTTCGATTTGCCCGAAATTTGGCATAGCATACTGAATTGAGCCTAGTACGATGTGTAGTAAGATCCGAAAAAATCGGTTCAGATTTCGATATACCTCCCACATATACATATATATTTGTCCGATTTTACTTACATGTTTGTATCAAATTGAGACTTGATAGACGTTATTGCGTTATGCTTCCATATATATTTCGAGCGGGTGTCTGATCGAGATTAAATTTTTAACAGTGCAGCGTACCGAATAGCGTGCTACAATTTTGCTATAAATCATTTTCCATAAATTTGTCCCATGGTACGCAGGCGACTCTAAATCTGCCCGAACGAAATTAAATTTAGCATAGGTTGCAGAAATGCATGAGTATGTTTCTTGGAGGCGATATTGTCATGGAATTGTAAGGGTACATATGTACTATATACCCAAAGTGGCGGAGGCTATCATATAGTCAGCTCCAGTCCGACTGGTTATTTAAGGTATTTTGTTTATTAGCCCTTGCGGGCTTTGAAAAATTGTCATAATAAACATTAATATTTTAACGTCCACTATGGCGAGGTATTGGTTAAAGTTTTCAATTAGCAATAATTGCACCTCAGCTAGAGCTTCATGGGTTACAATACTGCCACTGCGCAAGTCTAGCCAGTGATGGAGATTCTTGAGTTAATTGTGATAGTTTGTTCTTCGAGGTAATGAGAATTATGCGAAGGCTATGAAGGCATCGAAGTGCATAATTCAATTGGAGATTGCATTAAATGAGAGTTTATCAAGGTACCTAAGGAGGTTGAAGGGACGATAAATATTTTTATAATGTTTTTTTTTTAATTTATTCCCTCCTTAATGCTTCAGATTTTCTTTTTCAGTTCAATATTTTCCTTCCCTCAATATTTTGTACTTGTACAATTGTGCGGTCCTTCATCACCCATCAACTTTCATCCCCCATCCACTCTTATACTCCTTTGTAAGCATATTAATTTCCTTCCCTATTTTTTCATAACAAAAGCTTTAGGACCAGTTTTGAGCTTTTTTTCATCCCTACAGCTTCTTGCACCCAAGGGTTGCATTTTTTTGCCTACTATTCGACTTCATTGCATTGTGGTTGCGATCTGTTGCATTTATGCCCTCCATAATTCTCATTACCTTCACGAAAGTGGAATCTTAAGATGCTAGGCTGTGGCACTGTACCGTTAGCCTTGCGCAGTGGTAATATCGTAACCAATGAAGCTCAGCTGAGGTGCGATTATTGCTAGTTGAAAACTTTAACCAATACCTCGTCATAGTGGACGTGCAATACCGTCCATTATGCCAATTTTTGAAAGCCCGCAAGGGCCAATCAATTGATCAATTAAAAACCAGTAAGGAAAGTAGTAAAGTCGGACGGGGCCGACTATATGATACCCTTCACCACTATGGGTGTATTAAATAGGACTATTTACATGAAATTGGATGAAATAAAATATGTGATATTTATCTAAATGTGAATCTACCTAGATTTATCCATAAACATGTCATTCGTCAGTTACAATAGGACAAAGGTATGTAAATCGACTTCAAACAAATATAAATAGGTCATCCGTTGGGCTATGTCTGTACATCTAGAAAACGCAACTACGTAATTCTATGCTCAATTTTGTACGTTGTGCAAAATTTGATGTCAATCTGACTAACATGAGGAGTTTGATGCCCAATTTAGTTGAAATCGGGCGGAAATATATATGGAAGCTCTATCCAAATATTAAGCGATTTCAAACAAACTTGTCACAGATTAGGTTATGCTAATTTCAGAACGTTTTGTTCCTATCAGCCTATTGGTTCCTTAGTGCGTCAATTACTTAAAATCAATCTATAATAAAAGGGAGCTATATCTAAATCTGGACTGATTTTCACGAAACAAGGCAGACATCACTCTATGCTCAATTCAGTACGTTATGCCAAATTTCGTGCAAATCGAAAGATATATAGGGACTTTGGGGCACCATTTACATGAAATCGGACGAAACTATATATGGGAGCTATATCTAAATCTTGACCGATTTTCACGAAACTTGGTAGACATCATTCTAGGCTCAATTAAGTACGTTATGCCAAATTTCGTGCAAATCGAAAGATATCTAGGGACTTTGGTGCACCATTTACATAAAATCGGACGAAACTATATATGGGAGCTATATCTAAATCAGGACCGATTTTCACGAAACTTGGTAGACATCATTCTAGGCTCAATTAAGTACGTTATGCCAAATTTCGTGCAAATCCAAAGATATATAGGGACTTTGGTGCACCATTTACATAAAATCGGACGAAACTATATATGGGAGCTATATCTAAATCAGGACCGATTTTCTCTAAACTTGGCAGAAATCACTCTAGGCTTAATTCAGTACGTTATGTCAAATTTCGTGCAAATTAAAAGATATATAGGGACTTTGGGGCACCATTTACATGAAATCGGACGAACCTATATATGGGAGCTATATCTAAATCTGGACCGATTTTCCCGAAACTTGGCAGATATCACTCTAGGCTTAATTCAGCACGTTATGCCAAATTTCGTGCAAATCAAAAGATATATAGGGACTTTGGGGCACCATTTACCTGAAATCGGACGAAACTATATATGGGAGCTATATCTAAATCTGGACCGATTTTCACGAAACTTGGCAGACATCATTATAGACCTAAATGATTAGCCTGTACCAAATTTCGTGCAAATCGAAAGATATATAGGGACCGTTTACATTAAATCGGTTAAATATATATATGGGAGCTATATCTAAATCTGAACCGATTTTTCCCAATTTCAATAGGGTTCGTCCTTGGGCCGAATAAGTGACCTGTGCCAAATTCCATCCAATTCGGATCATAAATGCGACCTGTACTTTGTTTACAATTTAACATCGACGGACGGACGGACATGCATAAATCGACTTAGAAAGTGATTCTATGCATATTCTCAAAAGGAACCATGGGTCTATCTCGATTATTTTTGCCTGTTACAAACATATGCACAAAGACATAATACCCTGTACCACAGTGTGGTGAAGGGTATAAAAATATATAGATGAGAGATAAATTCGATAAAGAAGATAGTTAGGATTTTAAGGGTTAGCTACTATACCAAGGACTTAAGTTCATTGGAAATAATTCCTTAAAATGGGATTGTTCCCGAAACACCCGATCGTGGATTTTTTTTATTAGGAGATAGTTAGGATTTGAAGGGCAAGCTACCATACTAAGGACATGCTAACGTAAATAGGGTGTCAAGGGCATGCTACCATAACAAAGGCATATTTGACTTAAGTTCATTGGATATTTGACCATCGGATTTAAATGACTTAAAGGATAGTTTTCCGAAAAATTGGATCTTAAATTTCCCAATAGGTTGGATTTGGTTACTCTACGAAGAAATTTTATTTCCCATTCTCCGATATATAACTGTATGTCCTCGTTACCCTATTGTCCATGTACATATGTGTGTCTCTGCTTATGTGTGTCTCTGAAACAAATATTGATCGAAGTTGAGGGTGGGGCGATTTATAAATGTCAACAAAATACCCAATGTCGCCTCAGACAGATAATGCAAGCAAATCCTTCAAGGAGGGTACCTCTCGTTGGACAATTTTCTTTTCGTTGGAGACAATTGCAGTAACAACAACAACTAACTGCAAGAATTCGAATATCTAAAGTAAATACTGGTAAGATATAAGAAGTACACGAAAAACAACAACAATTGGTGGGTGAAGCATATCCATCAATTTGTTCGATTATGTGGTAAGTGCTCAAGGAACGAATGAACGAATAAATGTGGCACAGTGGGGGTAACTTTTTTAAATAAAAATATTTTTCTGATATTTTTTTAGATGCCTAGATGAGGTTTTGATTTAAAAAAAATATTCTTCCAAGGCTCTATATAAGGCGTGGATTTTTAAAATAACTTTTTTCCAACATCTATATATGGCCGGGCCGAACTTTGCATACCATCCACCATAGATATAATGACATTGAAATAAATATATAGGGAACATACCAAAAAGTGTATCTACAAAGACATTTCTAAATATTGGTCCTAGACCAATATCGGAGTAAAATATATATGGGAGCTATACCTAAATCTAAATCATTACGCCATGCCTAATTTCGAGCAAATCGAAAGATATATAGGGACTTTGGTACACCATTTACATTAAATCGGACGAAACTATATATGGGAGCTATATCTAAATCTGGACCGATTTTCAGGAAACTTAACACACATCAGTCTAGACCTAATTCATTACGCTATGCCAAATTTCGTGCAAATCGAAAGATATATAGGGACTTTGGTACACCATTTACACTAAATCGGACGAAAATATATATGGGAGCTATATCTAAATCTGGACCGTTTTTCACGAAACTTAACACACATCATTCTAGACTTAATTCAGTACGCTATGCCAAATTTCATGCAAATCGAAAAATATATAGGGACTTTGGTACACCATTTATATTAAATCGGACGAAACTATATATGGGAGCTATATCTAAATCTGAAACGATTTTCACGCAACTTAACACACATCATTCTAGACTTAATTCAGTACGCTATGCAAAATTTCGTGCAAATCGAAAGATATATAGGGACTTTGGTGCGCCATTTACCTAAAATCGGGCGAAACTATATATTAGAACTATATCTAAACCTGAACCGATTTTCATTAAACTTAACACACATTATTATACGCGCAATTCAGTACTCTATGCCAAATTTCGTGCAAATCGAAAGATATATAGGGTATTTGGTGCACCAATTACCTAACATCGGAGGAAAATATATATGGGAGCTATATATAAATCTGCACCGATTTTCAGGAAACTTGACACACATCAGCCTAGACCTAATTCTTTACGCTATGAAAAATTTCGTGGAAATCGGAAGATATATAGGGTTTTTGGTACATCATTTACATTAAATCTGATAATAACATATATGGGAGCTATATCTAAATCTGAACCGATTTTCACGAAGCTTAACACACATCATTCTAGACTTAATTCAGTACGCTATGCCAAATTTCGTGCAAATCGAGGTATATATAGAGACTTTGGTACACCATTTACCTCAAATCGGACGAAAATGTATATGGGAGCTATATCCAAATCTGAACCGATTTGCAGGAAACTTGACACACATCATTTTAGACTTAATTCAGTACGCTGTGCCAAATTTCGTGCAAATCGAATGATATATAGGGTCTTTGGTGCCCTATTTACCTAAAATCGGACGAAAATATATATGGGAGCTATATCTAAATTTAAACCTATTTTTCTCAATTTCAATAGGGTTCGTCCTTGGGCCAAATAAGTGACCTATGGCAAATTTCATTAAATTCGGATTATAAATGCGATCTGTACTTTGTTTACAATTTAACATGGACGTGCGGACAGACGGACATGGATAAATCGACTCAGAAAGTGATTCTATGCATATTCTCAAAAGGAACCATGTGTCCATCTCGTTTCCTTTTGCCTGTTACAAACTCATGCACAAAGACATAATACCCTGTAGCACAGTGTGGTGAAGGGTATAAATAGAGGTTATATGGGGACAACCCCAAAAAGGGGGTGATTATTAAAAATTTTTGGTAGGGAGATTTGTTACCATATACGACTACAAAATACCAAATTGCAGCGAATTCGGTTGAAAATCGGTCTCAAGAACCCCAAAATACCGACAATTGCGGGGTACCCTTATATGGGGGCTCTCCGAAAAAATGGACCTATATTTATATATTTTTGTGGAGAGATTTGGTACCTATTAAGAACTCAAAATACTAATTTACTGCAAATTCGGTGGAAAAATGCGATCAAAGCCCCCAAAATACTGAAAATTAGGAGGTACCGTTATATGGGGGCTACCAGAAAAAGTGGATCTATATTTATAATTTTTTTGTAGAGACTGTTAGTACCCAATAAGAACCCAATGTACCAAATTTCAGCGTGTTCGTTTGGGGGGCACTGTTATATGGGAGCTATGCCTAAACGTGGACCGATATATCCCATTTTCGAACTTGACCTGCCTGCAGACAAAGGACAAAATTTCAGCACCCTATCTCAATTCCTTCGTTCGGAAATGAATATTTCGATGAGTTACAAACAAAATGGCAAAATTAATATACCCTCCATTCTATGGTGGAGGGTATAAAAAAAAATCAAGGCCATATATAGGGCGTGGATTTTTTAAAGAATATTTTTCCAGAGGCCTATACAAGGCGTGGATATTTTAAAGAATATTTTTCCAGAGGCCTATACAAGGCGTGGATTTTTTAAAGAATATTTTTCCAGAGGCCTATACAAGGCGCGGATTTTTTAAAGAATATTTTTCCAGAGGCCTATACAAGGCGTGGATTTTTTAAAGAATATTTTTCCAGAGGCCTATACAAGGCGTGGATTTTTTAAAGAATATTTTTCCAGAGGCCTATACAAGGCGTGGATTTTTTAAAGAATATTTTTCCAGAGGCCTATACAAGGCGTGGATTTTTTAAAGAATATTTTTCCAGAGGCCTATACAAGGCGTGGATTTTTTAAAGAATATTTTTCCAGAGGCCTATACAAGGCGTGGATTTTTTAAAGAATATTTTTCCAGAGGCCTATACAAGGCGTGGATTTTTTAAAGAATATTTTTCCAGAGGCCTATACAAGGCGTGGATTTTTTAAAGAATATTTTTCCAGAGGCCTATACAAGGCGTGGATTTTTTAAAGAATATTTTTCCAGAGGCCTATACAAGGCGTGGATTTTTTAAAGAATGTTTTTCCAGAGGCCTATACAAGGCGTGGATTTTTTAAAGAATATTTTTCCAGAGGCCTATACAAGGCGTGGATTTTTTAAAGAATATTTTTCCAGAGGCCTATACAAGGCGTGGATTTTTTAAAGAATATTTTTCCAGAGGCCTATACAAGGCGTGGATTTTTTTTAAAGAATATTTTTCCAGAGGCCTATATAAGGCGTGGATTTTTTAAAGAATATCCCCCACTGTTCCCACTGCCATTGTCTTTTATTATCTGCCCGATATCTAGATTCAATATTTCACTTTCGATTGATGATGGATTCATTGGGGCGGTCGGTGTTGGCGTTGTTGTTAGTTTTATGCCGGCGGCATTGCAATCAACCCACCAAGGGAATTTATTGTTATTGGTTGTGCGTTTGTTCGATTTTTTTACGAAGTTCATTCATGCGGCCAGTATGCATTTATCTGGCGCGTTAATGATTGTTTGTTTATCATTGGAAATGTTTATTTTTTTCCATAGCCAGAAAATATGTTCGCAGACAATCTCACATGTACAAACAGACATACATACGAGTACATACCCTGCACAACAAATTGATAATTTTATCATTAAATTAACAACAACAACAACAACTAGTGGGTCGGATCGTAGTGGAGCGGACAAAAAAATATGTGAACATGTTCATCAATATGTCGATAGGCCGATTGGCGACGATGTTCTGTTGGGCTGCTTAACGAAAATTCGGGGAAAAAAACTGCCAAAGCGTTTGCGGGGTGTGAATGAGTGAATTACAATTCATTTTCGGGTGTTATAAACCTTTATAACCCTAGAATTATTTTTTTCGGGTGGTTGTAAATAACAACTAATTTTTGTTATGGTTTTTGTTGTTGTTGTTATTTTATTGATGATGATTTTATCAAATTAGCTTAAAAAAAGAGATTTTGGTTCGTTATTTTATCGTCTATGGGTGATCGGTATTTTTTGAGCGGGTTTTTGAAGTTCCATTCAAGTGTCTGTGGAAAATGTTTTTGTTTTCTTTCTCTGCAGGGTGGTAGAAAGGTGTCTATAAATTTTATTGACGCCAAAAGCGCGACTGGGTGAACTAAATTCGAGAGCACTTATTTTCAAATTGCTGGGAAAATGTGTCACAAATTGGTTTTTAATCCGTAAGGCCACAAATTAGCTAGGGGTGGTAAGTAGGTGGGCCAGACAAAGGTGGTGGGAGAAATTTTCTAAGGTTATCAAAGAAGTTTTAACGAATCAAAGATAACTATATTTATTTTTTTGTTTGAAGACAAAAACTTTAAGAATAAAAAAATTAACTTTCTTCAAGGGTTCCCACGGTTTTCTCTGAGGAGGGAAGATTCATTTTGGGGTGGATTTTTTAAATAATTATTTCCATAGCCTACATAGGGCGTAGATTTTTTTAAATAATTTTTTTCCAGGGCCATAGAAGGCATAGATTTTTTTAAATATTTTTTTTCCAGGGCCATAGAAGGCGTAGATTTTTTTAAATAATTTTTTTCCAGGGCCATAGAAGGCGTAGATTTTTTTAAAAAATTTTTTTTCCAGGGCCATAGAAAGCGTAGATTGTTTTAGTAATTTTTTTCCAGGGTCATAGAAGGCGTAGATTTTTTTAAATAATTTTTTTCCAGGGCCATAGAAGGCGCACATTTTTCAAATATTTTTTTTCTAGGGCCATAAAAGGCGTAGATTTTTTAAAATAATTTTTCCCAGGGCCATAGAAGGCGTAGATTTTTTTAAATATTTTTTTCCAGGGCCATAGAAGGCGTAGATTTTTTAAATATTTTTTTTCCAGGGCCATAGAAGGCGCATATTTTTCAAATATTTTTTTTCCAGGGCCATAGAAGGCGCATATTTTTCAAATATTTTTTTTCCAGGGTCATAGAAGGCGTAGATTTTTTTAAATAATTTTTTCCAGGGCCATAGAAGGCGTAGATTTTTTTAAATAATTTTTTTCCAGGGCCATAGAAGGCGTAGATTATTTTTAATAATTTTTTCCCAGGGCCATAGAAGGCGTAGATTTTTTCCAGGACCCATAGAAGGCGTAGATTTTTTTAAATAATTTTTTTCCAGGGCCATAGAAGGCGTAGATTTTTTCAAATAATTTTTTTTCCAGGGCCATAGAAGGCGTAGATTTTTAAAGAATATTTTCTCCAGGACCCATAGAAGGCGTAGATTTTTAAAGAATATTTTCTCCAGGACCCATAGAAGGCGTAGATTTTTTTAAATAATTTTTTCCAGGGCCATAGAAGGCGTAGATTTTTTCAAATAATTTTTTTTCCAGGGCCATAGAAGGCGTAGATTTTTTTAAATATTTTTTTCCAGGGCCATAGAAGGCGTAGATTATTTTTAATAATTTTTTCCCAGGGCCATAGAAGGCGTAGATTTTTTAAATAATTTTTTTTTCCAGGGCCATAGAAGGCGTAGATTTTTTAAATAATTTTTTTCCAGGGCCATAAGAAATTTCCTAGATGTTAAAAATTAATTCAATAATTTAAGATTTTCTTTTCAAATATTTTTTATTTAACATAAAACGTAATTTGTATGACCACAACAGTGGCCCAAATCCACCTCTCCATCCTTGTTGCCACATTGGCATAGCTCCTCTCCCCCTTGGTATATTCCGATATGATCTTCTCGAAATAATCATCATCATCGTAATAATTATATGTCTTATTTGTCGACACCAAAACCTCTTCGGAAAGTGTATCCTCCTTTTTCAAAATCGGATCCTCCTCCGATGCACCCGTCACCGTTATTTCATCTTCATAGTCCTCATAATAACTATAATCGAATGTCTTATTTTTCCCCACAATCCAATTGTAATGATACAGGACATTGACATATAAACCCAAATATTGGGTGCGGGCACAGCTATTACCCTCCAGGATAATGCCAGCCAAATGGCCCAAACACACCAGAGGGCCACCGGAGTCGCCTTCACAAAAATCATGTGGTACATGCTCCTCGTAACCGGCACAAATGAGATCTGTGGTGAGATCACCATAAAATTTACTACAAATTTTCGGTTCCACAATGGGCAGCAGGATGGCTTTCAGCAGAGGGGAGGGGTATTCCTGAGTGTATAAAAAAATATTATTTTTTTTAATTTTTATAATTTTGATTTTTCTTACCGCACTAATATTCCACCCCGAGGTGGAACACAACACACCATCCAATTGTGGTTGGATACTCAATGGTATGGCCTTTACAGTTGGCCAGGACCAGGGTATATGACCATTAATAAAGAACATGGCAATATTATTCACCAAAGTTGGCATATCAAATGCTTCGTGAACGGCTATTTGCAGCACATCGTATTGCAGGGTGAAGGCCGAAATTTCTGTTAGTAAGTCAGTACCCATGACCAAGGTGAAATCTTCGGGTTTTCGATATTTGATAATATTGTCACTGTAAAAATAGGAAACAACAATAAAATCAGTAAGGAAAGTGGTAAAGTCGGACGGGGTCGACTATATGATACCCTTCACCATAGTGTAGAAGGGTCATTAACATGAAATTGGATGAACTAAAATGTACTTCTGCACGCAATTACGTCATTCTATTCTTAAAAAACATGAAGAATTTGATGCAACATTTACATTAAATCGGCAGAACATATATATGGGAGCTAAATCTAAATCGCACATCATTATAGACTTAATTCAGTACGCTATGCCAAAATTCGTGCACATCAAAAGATTTCCAAGGACTTTAGTGGACTATTTACCTAAAATCGGGCGGAACTATATATGGGAGCTATATCGAAATCTGAACCGATTTTCACAAAACTTTGCACACTTTATTCTAGACTTCATTCAGTGCGCTATGCCAAATTTCGTACAATTCGAAAGATATATAGGGACTTTGGTACACCATTTACCTCAAATCGGACGAAGATATATATGGGAGCTATATCTAGATCTCAACCGATTTTCGCGAAACTTTACTCACATTATTAGAGACGCAATTCATTACTCTATGCCAAATTTCGTGCAAATCGAAAGATATATATAGGGTCTTCGGTGCACCAATTACCTTAAATCGGATGAAACTATATATGGAAGCTATATCTAAATCTGAACCGATTTTCACGAAACTTAATACACACCATTCCAGACCTTATTAATTACGCTGTGCCAAATTTCGTGCAAATCGAAAGATATATAGGGACTTTGCTACACCATTTACCTTAAATCGGACGAAATCGATGGGAGCTATATCTAGATCTAAACCGATTTTTTCCAATTTCACCAGGGCTCATTCTTGGGCCAAAGAAGTGGCCTCTGCTAAATTTTATCCAATTCGGATCATAAATGCTACCTGTACTTTCTTTACAATTTAACATGGACAGACGGACAGACGGAGGGACCGGCATGCATAAATCGACTTAGAAAGTGATTCTATGCATATTCTCAAAAGGAACCATGGGTCTATCTCGATTAGTTGTGCCTGTTACAAACATATGCTCAAAGACATAATACCCTGTACCACAGTGTGTTGAAGGGTGTAATCAAATGGTCTTAGATCCCCTATAAGAGGGCTAGCCTCTATAGGAGAAACAGAAGGGAGTGCAAGGGTCTTTCCCAGGACCTTAAAAATATTTCTTACAAATACCCGCCTTGATTTTTAAAAATATATTTTTTCAGAGATCTACACGAAGGCGTGGATTTTTTAAAAGATTTTATATCATAGGGATTTTATCTACATAGGGAGTGGATTTAAAAAAAAAAAAATATTTTTTCAAACATCTACACAAGGCGTGGATTTTTTTTAAAGATCTTTCAGGGATCTACATAGGGAGTGGACTTAAAAAATTTTTTTTCAAACATCTACACAAGGCGTGGATTTTTAAAAATATCTTTCCAACCGTCATCTATTATCCTTCTTATGATGTAGTGGTGCAGGGCATATTTATTTTAATTACAAAATTTACGTACTTATCGGAGTTGTCACCTTCGGGTTCATCGTCATCCCTGTAAACAAAACACACACACATGTAAAACCAATCATAAATAAATTTCAATGTACATTGAAAAAAAAATATTTATTACATCCTTTACCTGACGACACAATGAGCCGCGGACAACACCACACGTTGAGATATCACCGAACCACCGCAAATATGTCCATCACCATAATATTCCAAGTCAATGGCCTTAAGACGCACCGAGACTTGCCATGGTGCGGATGTTATATCCACCGGTTCACTTTTGAATTGTAAGGGATCTTAAGAACACGAAACAAAGACAAGGTTCGGAAATCGATTTAAATATATATTTTTTTGTATTGAAATTGATTAATTTACCTGCCCAAATTCCATGGCAAGTGAAAATAACAACAGCAAATATTTTTCCTAGGTTGCTGAACATTTTTGTTTCTTTCTTTTTGTGTTTATCATCACAGAATACTAACAAAACTGAACGGGAATTTATTTCTGGAAATTGTTATTTCGCAAAATGTGTTCGGCACCAAAATAAAAATCACATATGAGAATCCCGAAAAAAAACCAAAACAAACCGAAGCAGAAAAAAATAAAACAATATTTGAGTTGTAAGCAATTCGTAAATACCGCCAGCCAACCAGCCAGCCAGGCCAACCAACCCACCATCCAGCACAAATGAATCTCTTATCTTATTGACTTTAGTGTGAATGATAAAATTTAGATTATGACATAGTTGCTGTTGACAGTTCTTTTTTTCTATTACTATATCTAGTTTTGCAGATATTAGGGTTGGCACAACAAAATCTATTTAAGAAATATTTTAGAAAACAGAAAAGCAAGTGCCCCTAAAATTATTTTTATACCCTTCACCACTCTGTACTACAGGGTATTATGTCTTTGTGCATGTGTTTGTAACAGGCAAAAGAAAAAGAGAGACATATGGTTCCTTTTCACAATATGCATAGAATCACTTTTTGAGTCGATTTATGCATGTCCGTCCGTCCGTCCGCTGTCTGTCCATGTTAAATTGTAAACAAAGTACAGGTCGCATTTATGATCCGAATGAGATGAATTTTGGCATAGGTCACGTATTTGGCCCAAGGACGAATCCTATTGAAATTGGGAAAAATCGGTTCAGATTTGGATATAGCTCCCATATATAGTTTCGTCCGATTTCATGTAAATGGTGTCCAAAGTCCCTATATATCTTTCGATTTGCACGAACTTTGGCGTAGCGTACTAAATTGGGTCTAAAATGATGTGAGTAAAGTTTCGTGAAAATCGGTTCAGATTTACATATAGCTCCCATATATATTTTCGTCTGATTTAAGGCAAATGGTGTAGCAAATATTGTACGATTTGCACGAAATTTGGCACAGCGTACTGAATTGAGCCTAGAATGATGTGTGCTAAGTTTCCTGAAAATCGGTTCAGATTTAGATATAGCTCCCATATATATTTTCGTCCGATTTAATGTAAATGGTGCACCAAAGTCCCTATATATCATTCGATTTGCATGAAATTTGGCACAGCGTACTGAATTAAGTATAGAATGATGTGTGTTATGTTTTGTAAAAATCGGTCCAGATTTAGATATAGCTCCCATATATGTATTTTCGTCCGATTTAATGTAAATGGTGTAGCAAAGTCCCTGTGCACTTGTGTGTCCGATTGCCATACAATTTTGTACAATAAACTGTAGTTAATCTCTGGCAAGTCTCATTGAAATCGGTTCAGATTTTGATATAACTTCTACATATATATTTTCGTCCGATTTTACACAAAATTGACACAAATTTTGCACAACGTACTGAAGTTAATATAACTTAGAGGCTGGAGATAATTGCTTCGACAAGGTGGGTCCAATCGGCACAAAATTTTGCACTACGTACTGAAGTTGCTATAACATAATGTGTTGCAAGTTTAGTTGAAATCGGTTTAGATTTCGATATAGCTTATGTGCTTCAAATTGATTTACATAATTTTGTCCCATTGTAAGAAGCATATAGTCGGTCCCCTCCGACTTTACTTCTTTCCTTACTGGTTTTTTTAATCAACGTCTTGTATTGGTCTCTAAGAAAATATTTTTTAAAAATCCATGTCCTATTTTGAACCTATGAAATATTTTTTAATCCACTCCTAATACAGATCCCTAAAAAATTGTATAAAAAGAAAATATTGTTTAAAAATCCACGTCTTGTATTAGTCCCTAAAAATCAACGCCTTGTATTGGTTGTTAATTTTTTCTTCAACTCTTAAAATTTATTTTTAAAAAATGCACGCCTTGGGTAGGTCCTTTAGTCTACGCCTTGTATTGGTCCCTAAGAAAACATTTTTTTAAAAATCCAGGCTTTACGTCCCTAAAATATTTTTTATCCACGCCTTCGATTGATTTCCAAAAAAAACATATTTTTGAAAATCCACACAATGAGTAGGTACATAAATAATATTTTTCTGATACCTGAACAAAACCATTATTTTTCTAGAATCCACCATGTTGGAACACCCCTAATTTCTAAATTGCTACAATAAAAAAAATCACAGAGCTTAACTGGCATAAACAATGCTATTAGACCAAATAAAAGATAAGACAACACATTTTATCTTTGCAAAATATTTTTTTTTTGTTTATCTTTATGATAGGCAAAACACAAAAAAAAGAATTGCAGTGATGCTGAGCAAATTCAATACAAAACAAAGGCCGATAAAAATACTAATTTACAATACTGAAATAAATTAATCAAATATAAAAAAAAAACAAATTTCACGATTTTGTATACAGACAGAATGTAGACCAGTCATCTAGGAAAATAAACAAATAACATGGTCTTGGAAAAATACTATTTAAAAATCTACGCTTAAAAAATCGCCCCTCTCATTAGGCCCTTGCCTTCTTTAAAAAATCCACGACTTATATATGGCTCTAGAAAAATCATCTTTAAACCAGTAAGGAAAGTAATAAAGTCGGACTGGGCCGACTATATGATACCCTTCACCACTTTGGGCATATTCAACAGATGAATCCTAAACGAAGTCGCATTTTTAAAGGACCAGTAAAATTAAAGTGGATCCATAAACATGTCATTCTGCAACCGATACTTAATTTTTCATTTGGTCAGATATAGAAACTATATCTAAATCTGAACCGATTTCGGGAAACTTAACATACATTATTTTAAACCTAACTCATTACGCAGTGCCAAATTTTTGCACACCGAAAGATATTAAGGGATATTGGTGCGCCATTTACATAAAATCGGACGAAACTATATACGGGAGCTACATCCAAATCTGAAGCGATTTTCAGGAAACTTGACACACATCAATCTAGACCTATTTCATTACGCTGTGCCAAATTTCGTGCACATCGAAAGATATATAGGGACTTTGGTGCTTCATTAACATAAGATCGGACGAAAATATATATGGGAGCTATATCTAAATCTGAACCGATTTCCACGAAATTTAACGCACATCGTTTAGACATAATTCAGTACGCTGTACCAAATTTCGTGCAAATCGAGGGAAATATAGGGACTTTGGTGCTCCATTTACATAAAATCGGATGAAAATATATATGGGAGCTATATCAAAATCTGGACCGATTTGCACGAAACTTGGCAGACATCATTCTAGACCTAATTCATTAAGCTGTGACAAATTTTGTGCAAAGCGAAAGATATATAGGGACTTTGGTGCGCCATTTACATAAAATCGGACGAAACTATATATGGGGGTTATATCTGAATCTGATCCGATTTTCATGAAACTTACCACACATCATTCAAGGCTTAATTCAGTACGCTGTGCCAAATTTCGTGCAAATCGAAAGATATATAGGGACTTTGGTTCACCATATACCTTATATCGGATGAAAATATATATGGGAACTATATCTAAATCTGATCCGATTTTCAGGAAACTTAACACACATCATTCTAGGCTTTATTCAGTACGCTGTGCCAAATTTCGTGCAAATCGAAAGTTATATAGGGACTTTAGTACACCATTTACATTAAATCGGACGAAAATATATATGGGGGCTATATATAAATCTGGACCGATTTTTACGATACTTAGAACACATCATTCTAGGCTCAATTCAGTACGTTATGCGAAATTTCGTGCAAATCGAATGATATATAGGGACTTTGGTGCGCATTTTCATAAAATCGGAGGAAACTATATATGGGAGCAATATGTAAATTTGGACCGATTTTCACGAAACTTAACACACATCATTCTAGGCTCAATTCAGTACGCTAAGCCAAATTTTGTGCAAATCGATGCATATAAATGGACTTTGGTGCACAATTTACCTAAAACCGACAAAAATATATATGGGAGCTATATCTAAATCTGGACCGATTTTCACGAAACTTGGCAGACATCATTCTAGGCTCAATTCAGTACGTTATGCCAAATTTCGTGCAAATCGAAATATATATAGGGACTTTGGTACACCATTTACATTAAATCGGACGAAAATACATATGGGAGCTATATCTAAATCTGAACCGATTTTTCCCAATTTCAATAGGGTTCGTCCTTGGGCGAAATAAGTGACCTGTGTCAACTTTCATCCAATTCGAATTATAAATGCGATGTGTACTTTGTTTACAATTTAACATGGACGGATGGACGCGTAAATCGTCTCAGAAAGTGATTCTATGCATATTCTCAAAAGGAACCATGTGTGAAAATGCGATTAAAAAAATCTACGCCTAATATAGATGTTGACAATGCGATTAAAAAATCTACGCCTTATATAGATGTTGAAAATGCGATTAAAAAAATCTACGCCTTATATAGATGTTGAAAATGCGATTTAAAAAATCCACGCCTTATATAGATGTTGAAAATGCGATTTAAAAAAATCCACGCCTTATATAGATGCTGGAAAAAATTATTTAAAAAATCCATGCCTTATATAGTCTATGACCCATTGAGCGGAGCTGCATACTTGGATGGGGCCGACCATATGATAGCAAAGACCAACCTGAAGTTGAAAGGTAGGCAAAAAAATTAGC